CCCCCAACAAACAAACAAACAAACAAAACCCAAACAAACAAACAAACAAACAAACCAACAACCCCAACACCCCCAACAAACACCCCAACAAACAAACAAACAAACACCCCCAACAACCCAACAAACAAACAAACAACCCCAACAAACAAACAAACAACCCAACAAACAAACAAAGCCAGGTCACAACAACTGTATGTTCTGTATGTTCGTGCGATTGATTCACAAATGTGCGCCTCCAAGAGTTTGTAACACATCGGCCAATCACAACGCGCAAAATTTGTTGACCCTTTGGAAACGCGCATTGGGTCGACAAATTTCGCGCATTGTGATTGGCCAACGCGTTGCAAATTCTTGGAGGCGCACTATTGTGAAACGACTGTATTTGACAATTGTCTCCTATAGGCACAGTGGCACACTTTTTTTATGATTACAAATTTCTTGCTTTGCTTTCAGCCAGTGCGCACATCCTCAAGATGATCACCCGATCCAACTCTAACCACCGCTGTTAATAAACGGGTACACTGGGCTTCTGTAGCAAAGTGCTATTGTTCAGTGCAAGTACATGTACATGTAAAACCCAGCTCATACTTTACGCGACAATGAACACAAACGTGGATTTGTTATGCCAGAACACATTTCAACTGCGTGAAATTTCGCTGCAAATCTTTTGTAACGTCGAACTCGCTCCGGTTTCGAGTTCGCCTGCTGTATGAACTGGTGTTAAAGGCGCCTTTCCATATGTACGTTCTGGGATACGTTGCGTGCACGATGCATTCATTTTCACTTTCCCGGACAGAAAAATCGACTCCATTATCATAACAAACGCGCGCGTTGCGTTTGGTAGTCAAAATCGCCCTGGGAGCGATTCTGACGGCCGAACGCAACGCCGAGCATGCGCCATGGAGTTACGACCAAGGGAACAGAAAGTATGAAGTCGGGCTGTGCATGGCTCGAACCCTGGCTGGTACCTTTTCATTGCGTTTCCTGTTTCCCGTTGGAAAGTTCAGGTGACGTGACTAAAGTGTAGCAAAGTCATTTTGATAGTAAGGGGTAATTCGAAAACTGGTAAATAACACCTTGTACTGAAAGATGTACCCCTACAGCTTGAGCAGAGTCACTATCTTTTATGCTGGCGCTGTTCAAAGCGGACAGTTTGGGACAAGAGCGAAACCATAGTGAATTAGAGGGTGGATGGGGATGCAATCTGTTATTCAGGGGTCACTGAAAGCCGATGACTACGAGTCACACGTAGGTTGTGTACATGCCAACATTCTCAGGGGCGAGAGGCACCCAGGCCTCCCAGGCCTAGACCAAATCTCGGGATGGCCCCGGGGCGACGCAGGGGTGAAAATAAGCCGCGTTTCCCACTACAAACTCTCTCTTGAAAATCTCTCCGCGATTCAGCTGTGTGCCGGAAAACCACGCACGCACACTGCATTACAAGCATCACCCCACCCAAAAAGTATGAAACGATGGTACCGATCCCAGGGATAAACTCACCTCCGGGCGAGGTAATTAAGTGTAGTTTGGGAGAAACAAGTGTGAAACGAACCTTGGTTCAACGGGGGAGGGGGAGGGATGAAATACTACGCGTCACCCCGGGGCAGCCCCGTGGGCCATCCCCGGTGATTCACCCCGGGGATGAGTGTTCTAGTGGCAAAAGCCGGGGGCATGAGCCCCCGTAGTCCCCCAGTCCAGTTGCGCTACTGTTTGTGGACAGTAGGCGGCGCTTTTCATGACCGCACAACGAGCCAGATCGGTATCATGCAGGCAAGGCATGTCACTGATGCGACTTCACCGAATTTATTGATCAATGTGATCGGTAAAGCACAGCAATCGAATGCGATGATGATTATGGCCCGTTTGCTTCACACAATCTGGATCCCGATCGGTGATCCGTCGCTGGTTAACGGGCGCCACAAACCACATATTGGGTGGACTGACCCAGCGTTAAAATCTAAGATTCGATCTTTGTGAAATAAACTGGCCCCCAATTGCCAAATCAAGATAGAACTGCAACACGGCGCCCTCAATTGTTCACATTTCACGTCTCTGATGTATTCGTATTTCTAAGAGCAATCCACACTCTTCAACTGACCTTGTAAACACCCGATAATACTGTTAGTGATTTACTGTATGGCAGTGGCGTAGCCGGGGGGACTGGGGGCACGTTCCCCCATTCCAGGTGCCCCCCACCTAAAAAACGGATGAATTGATATCGAACGAGGCTAAAAAAACCACCCCCTAAAAAAAAAAAAAACACTGAAAGATGGTGCCCCCATAAGATACTGGTGCCCCATTCGTGCCCCCAGTAAAATCCTAGCTACGCCACTGCTGTATGGAGCATCCAACTTTAGGCCATTGCATTTTATCAACGTTTTCTTGAAGTTATATCGCTATGTCCTGATAAATTGTTGCAGTGTTCCACGAGGGTACACATCAGCACTTGGGGGTCTATAGTGCACTTGTCCTACTGCATAAAGATTCTGTAACTTTCAAAATCAAAGTATCGTCACAGGGTAAGGTAATAATCGATATGCTTAGACTAAAAATAAATATAGCCATCCGTTTCCTGCAGCGAAAGTAAGCAGCGGAAGTTAACAAGCATCGATAAAATTAACTCCGAATCAAAATCCACCGATGTAATCGTTCACGCCCAGTTTCCAAGCTCTCCACGCCTTCAGAGTTGGCACTTGGGATATATTAAATCGTCTGGTAATTTTTCCACGGCAGGAATTGAACCAGTTCGAATTTTTGATTTGTGTGGTTCCAGACATCCCCTTGTTGCCCGGAAGAAAAGGCAGTATCCTACAGAAATAAGAGGGCTGCATTTTGGGATATTTAACGACGACGGATCCGTGACTGCGCCACTCGAAAAACTTGTTGTACAACTCGTCTGATTGGTCAACTTTCCGGATGTACTGGGCGAGCTCTTTGACACTCTCAAAATCGCTGACGTGGATGTACGAGTTGGGCGGAGCAAGCCTTTGGAAGTCTTCCTTTGGAGCGCCGTAAACCACGGGCACGACCCCGTTAAGCAGACAGGACTCCCAGAACTTTTCCGTGATGTACTCGCGGCACTCAGAGTTCTCGAAGGCCAAATAGAACTTGTACGCACCAATCAGATTCACGCACTTCGGAGAGAGACGCGGCAGACACGTGAGCTGGCCACACTTTCCGTATGTGTCGAGCTGTAGGTGGCGCCCAAGCTCTTCGATGAACTCCATTCGGGGCCAGAACACCTCTTTGGCGCAGTTGCTTCCCATCCAAGCGATCAGCCCCGTCTTGCCCTCGGCGTAGTTCGCTTTCCTCTCAAAGGTATTCTCGAACGAGCCTGGTTTGTAATAAGCGTACGGCACGCTGATGTCTGCGCCAGGGAGGTACGTCAGGTCGGTATGGTACCTCAACTCGCCTATGCGGTGAATCCATTTGTGCACTCGGAGTGGAGACTCCATGCTATATAATACTGCAGTCTGATTCGGCGGAATGTTTGTTGAGTACTTCATGAGTTTGGTCACGCTCTTCAAAAGTGTGAACGGCGAGAGGCCAAAGATGGCCGCATCTGCCCCTCTGAAGCCCTTGACGTTGCTTGTGATGGTCAGCTCTATCGTGGTACCTTGTTCTGGGCATAAAACATTGCACGAGCCGGTAGAGTTGTCGGCAGGATTTAAGAAACAGCGGTGCATGATTTCCAACTCGGACCACTTGGCGATGACATCCATTTCGGCTAGGATGGCGAAGCGTTTGCTCGGTTTAGCCAGAGGGCGCGAATTCCAAGCCTTCCTTTTGCTGGGTCCAACCTCTCTGTCTCGCACATTGAGTTGGTTTCCAGACAAGGACCAGGCTCGAAGTTTGAGATAGTGGAGCCTGTCAATGGACAGCTCACTGAGCAGGAAAAATACTACAAGTGAGCCAAATACTGAGGCCATGAAGCATTTTACTCCAAATGGTCGCGTCTGCAAGTACAATAAAAATGACACATTATTTTACGTGAAGCTGTCAAAGTCAATTGGCTGGTGCCCACAGAAACGCTAACTGTTATGGATCAGAGATTATCATGAGATTCAATTTGCTTAAACGTGCACTTTTTAAAAATTTCTGATATAGGCTAATGGTACTTTGCACTTTACAAAACTAGACTGTTTGAAATTATCATTCCGGCGTTATAGCTCATGTTTGATGATGAACGACGGAAATTGCCTTGCATTCCTGTGGGATTCTCTCTCCTTTTTCAAGTGAATTGTATCTGACGAATAATTGCAACTTCACAATGAGAACTTCATAATGTGTCAAAGAAAAAAAATGCAGCTGTTTTGTCTGCCATAGTTTCACTATAAACGTCCACGAAAAAAGAACCCTTAGTTAATTTACTTCACGCTCAATATTAATTAGATTTATTATAGATAAAACAAATCAAATGTATACCTACAGCAAACCCGATGTATAGCCGTCGAAGATTCATACCTGGATCCTCCTCTTGAATTAAAGTCTACAGGAAAAAAAAATATTATGTAACTAGGCTGCGAAGTTTTGAGAAGTGGACAAGAAAACTTGCAGAGTATTTTAGACAACACTTGGCTTTTTTGTTTACATGGATATATAGGTACACAGCCATGTTTTCCAGAGTAAAGTAGGTTTTTTTTACCCACATGGGCTAAATTTCACACTCGGGCTTGGAAGATTTCATGAATCGACTCAGGAAGTTAGTGCTTGGCGATTTTTGTCATTTTATATTATCATTCGGGATTTGCATTTACAGTCAATTTGCACTGTAATGATTTTGCAGTTATAGTAAACTTTGCTACAAGGATTTTGCTTCAATCAGCGTCCCAATGTTGCTCTTAAATTCCCCTGCCTATGGCATTCCTGCACTCTGCATCTCCCTTGATATGCTCCTTCAGCAGAATACTCAGTATCTTAGCAGTGAAGTCTGAGGTCTCAATTCAACCTTAAAAGGAGACTTTTCTGCAACATTCTACGAAGGCTGGGGCACAATTTGCTTGAGTTAAATACTGTGCCCACCTTTTGCGATTTCGCAGAACGAATATTTTCATCAAAGGCCACAATTTCACATACGGGTTTGATTTTGCGCAAAGCATGAATCCTCTAAAAAGCTTGAAGCCAAGTGATTCAATTGGAAACCAAAGACTGGACTGCTGCTTGCTGAGAGACTGACCGTTCAGTGGCCTGGTGGTAATAAAAGAGACTAAGTACCAGATGTTTCTTTTGACGTAATTTGCTTAATTAGCATTGACGTACTAATGACATCGCACTTTGTTTACGTTTATGATTTTCTGTGGAGCCAGTGGGGGACCCACGGTCCACTGACCAATATAAGAAAACACCTAGGTAAACAGAGTGTGACGTCATCAGCACAGGTCTATTGCCACAGTGCTATACGGTCGGACCATGGTCATGCGTGAACAAGCCGTTGTTCTTGGGTTGCACTCAAGTTTGGGGACCCCGCAATACAAAGTATCAAAGTTTCAAACTGTCGGACTTTCGCTAAAGATAGTTCGAAAATTTGTAAATGACAGTCCTTAAAGTTTAGGGTGCAAAACATAATTATATAAGCAAAATAAACTAGTGGAGATCTGTCCAACGCTTCTAGCAGTGCTAGATTAATACTGCTTTTATTGATTACGAGATGCACCACCGACCCAATCTCTGTATGACGTTCTCATTATTTTTACCCAGCCATGTTATCAGGTTAGCTATCATTTTGAAACAGGATCGTCGGATATCAACAGACCAACTTTTCAAATTGACAACACTTGGTTTCGATTGCAGAACGACAATGTCAGCAACCTTGCCCCAAGTGGATGTATATTGGGATGCAGGCTCGTAACCAGGGGGGGTGCACGGAGTGCGTCTGCACTCCCCAACATGACTAAAAGGTCCTCTTTGAGGCAAGAAAGGATTTTGAGCTATGGTAGAACATTTCCCGCCAAAAAGCCGCGCTCTTCAGTATTTTCGCCCAGGTTAATCCCCTCTTCGGGAGTTTACTTGCACCTCCTAAAACGATTGGTACGACCTCATGTATCCTTTGTTTTCAAAATAAAAAAACAAAAGATCTTTGCTTAGCCCGCTTTCTTGAGGATTTGCACCCCCACCACCACGAAAACATATAGTTACGGGCCTGGGGTGAAACTTTGGGATGGGGGTAGGGCGTGGCTGGAC